GAATGTCGTGGCATCATAGCTCACAGCAACCTCAAACTCTTGGGCTCAGGTGATCCTTTTCCTCAGCCTCCTGAGTAGCTGGGACTACACATGCCTGCCACAACACCTGGCTGTTTTTAGAGACGTGATCTCTCTCTGGCTCAGGCTGGTCTTGAACCTGTGAGCTCAGGCAATCTACCTGTCTCGGCCTCCTGGAGTGCTAGGATTACAGGCGTGAGCCACCACGCCCAGCATCCTCATACTCTTGAGCTCAGTAGATCCTTTTGTCTCAGCCTCCCAAGTAGCTGGGACTTCAGTCGCCTGCCACGAGTGTCTAGGTTTTTCTATTTATAGTAGAGACGGGGTCTTGCTCTTGCTCAAGCTGGTCTCAAACTCCTGAGCTCAGGCTATCCACCTGCCTAAGACTACCAAAGTACTAGGATTATAGGCGTGAGCTGCTGCTCCCAGCAGGGTACTTTTTACATTCCAGAGTCTGTATTTAACTTCTTCGTGGCTAAGAAAGTAGAGAATATTTTCTAGAATTTGTTCTTGGTTGTATTTGGATAATATCACACTGCAGCATTTTATTGCCCTCAGCTGTCTGTGACCCTGGAAACACATGTGTGACTGAAGCCCCAAAACACCCGACCTCTGAAGAGCTGGAAATGCCAATAAAAGACAGCCACCTTATCCCAACTCCTCAAGCCCCCAGTATTGCCTTCCCTCTCGCCAACCCACCTGTGGCTCCACAACCTAAAGAAAAGGTTTGTTGATCTTTGGCATGGGGATAGGGTTTTTAGATATTGCTATTATGCTGTATTAGAAATTTGTTGATGTCACTATCATGGGTTCATCAAATGTTGAAATTATATTTCTTTGCATTGTATTATTATTTGTATATTTGATAACTTAGAAGACTGAAGGGAAGAGAGGGGGGTTGGTAAGTTGTCACCTAGCAGGCACAATGTAAGAGTGTATGACACCTCCTGGGTGAAGGGCTCAACTACAACTTGGACTTTACCTAGCAGATGCAGATAATGTAACTTAATTGTATGTACTCTTATTAATCTGAAGTTTAAAAAAGACTGAGTAAAATCATTTTAAAAGAACTGTATGCCTTAATTTTAATGCTAATTTTTTCTAAAATAAAACTTTCATTCCAGATTATAGCAATAGAGGAGACACATGAAGAATTAAAGAAACAGTACATATTTCAGTTGTCATCTCTGAATCCTCAAGAACGTATTGATTATTGTCATTTGATTGAAAAACTAGGTACTAATATGTTACTTAAAAATTCTCAAATAGTAACCTTTGGAAGTCAAATGCAGTAAATATTGATATGTCTAAGGTCTGGAAATTGAGAAAAAGAATATGGGTGACTTTTCTAAGACATTGAGTCAGCATTGGAGCTTTGATCTTTATAAAGCACTGATCTCAATCTAAAGTCATTGAGTCATGGAATTTAAAGATTAACATTGAAATGAACAGTTAACGTTTAAAAATCTTCCGTGCTGCTTTGAGCATTTGTTCAATGATGAAACCTTTGACAAAAATCAACAAAATTATAGTTAGAATATAAATAAAACCACATTTTAATGAACTCGGTAGTGCTATCTAGGGAGGAGCTCCTTATATAACATTATTCTTATTCTACGAGTTCTAGAAGCAGCATACTAGAAGATTTACCTGATGTGCTTTAGCAGCACTGTTCAGTCAAAATAGAATCTGAGCTACATGTCATTAAAATTTTCTAGTGGCCACTTTTAAAAACTAAAAAGAGACAAGTAAAATTAAGGGTATATTTTATTTAACCCATTATATAGAAAATTCAACATATAATCAGCATAAAATATTCGTGAGGAATTTTACATTTTTTTTAGTAAGTCTTTGAATCTGGTATACATTTTACATTTCTAGCACATACCAGTTTGGACCAGTTGTGCTTCCATTTTTTATTTTTCTTAGGAGGGGTCTCACTATGTTGCCCAGGTATAGTGTGATGGCACTGTCATAGCTCACTGCAGCCTCAGACTCCTAGACTCAAGCAATGCTCCTGCCTCAGCCTCTTAAGTGCTGGGACTACAGGTGCACACCACTGTGCCTGTGTTTCTGGTGCTACTCTGCATTAGACAGTGGGGTTGGGAAGATTATAATAAGAGAACTTAATCTGACACCTTGATACAGAAAACATTAAGAAATAATGGTTGTTTTATAGTGGCCCTGAGTCATCAAGGAAAGATCAAATGTATTTAATGCTATTTTTTAAAGAACATGGAGACCTATTATAACTTTTTTTTTTAAAGTCTCTGTCAAATATGGTTGTACACTTAAAAAACTGTTTCTTCTTGGAAACTTTACTTACATGGGACACTTTGCTGATAAATTAGCTGGGATTATAAATCAGAATTACTAAGCTTTACTCACCAAAATGAAAGCCTTTAAGTGTCTAGTTCTTACAGACTTTTTCATCTCTGGAAACTTTGAACAAGCGTAGTAGTAATTAGCATTAGAAGAGGAGCAGAGGTAAATGAGTACAGATTGTGCTGGAATTGGGAGTCTGTAACTCTAGGGGTTTTCTGATATTAGAATGCAAAGAGACATAATGCTATTATATCCAGCACTTCATTTATAAATGAAGCAACTGTGGCCAACTGATACATAAATAAATCAGGCTATTGTATTGTCTGGATCACAGAATAATAAATTTTCAATGTAGAACTAGAAGTTGATATTAGTATGAAATTACACCTTGTTCTTTTGTCACTGTGATCCTGAGTAAGTTACGCTCTCAGTTTCCTCTTGTATAAATGAAGATAATAACAGTAACTTTTATTGGATTGGGAGGATTAAAAGAGTTAATAATCTAGACCACTTATAATAGTTCCTGGCATATAGTAAATGCTCAAAATATGTTGCTGCTGTTATTAGAGTCATCTGTAAATCATGAGTAGAGATTGGATGTTTTGTTAACATCTTAAGAAAGTCCTTGATAGAACTCAGCCTAACCACTAGTGAACCTATAAAAGTGTAGGTCAGTAGCCACACTTAGGTAGCTTATATTTACTTACGCCTTCTTCTTTTCTCAAAGTCAGGCTTCATACACATACATGTATATCATACACATACATGTATATCAGTATATCAGTAGCTCAGGGAAAAAAAAAAACACGTTCATTTATTGCTGTTCATCTCTTATTTATATGTTTTCCTCCCCAGCTTCCATGTTGATCTACTGACCATATTTCCATTCACAAAAAAATTGAGCAAGGATTTAGTATTGAGACAACAAAGAATTTTTATCAATTATAGTAGATCTGATAATGGCATTGTGGTTATTTAAGAAAATTTCTGTATATTAAAAATGCATACTCAAATATATAGGGGTTAAGTAACATGATGTCTAGAATTTGTTTTAAAATAGTTCAGCTAGAAAGGGGGAAAAGTAAAGGTTGCAATTTTTTTTTTGTTTTTTTGAGACAGTCTCACTTTGTCAACCTCAGTAGAGTGCTGTGGCATCACAGCTCACAGCAACCTCAGACTCTTGGGTTCAAGCGATTCTCTAGTCTCAGCCTCCCTAGTAGCTGGGATTATAGGTACCCACCACAGTGTCCAGCTATTTTTTGTTGCAGTTGCCATTGTTGTTTTAGCTAACCCAGGCTGAGTTTGAACACGTTAACCTCAGTGTATGTGACTAGCATTGTAACCACTGTACTACAGGTGCCCAGCCAAGGTTGCAAAATTTTGACCTAGGTAGCTAGCGTATATAAGTCTTTGAATCTGGTACACATTTTACATTTATAGCACATCTCAGTTTGTTCATTTTAGTATCTTATCTACTTTTGTATTTAAATTTTTTATAATAGACTGTGTGCAGTGACTCATGCCTGTAATTCTAGCACTTTGGGGAACTGAGGAGGGAGGATCACTTGGCCAGTAGTTTAAGACCAGCCTAGGCACCTACCTAGAGAGACTCCTCTCTATCAAAAAAAAAAAGAGAGAGAGAGAGAAAGAAGGGGATGGTGGCATGCCTTAAACCTGTAGTCCCAGCTACTCAGAAGGCTGAGGCGGGAGGATTGCTTGAGCCCAGAAGTTTGAGGCTGCAGTGAGCTGTGATCGCAACTTCATTCCAGCTTAGGGCAACAGAGTATGACCCTGTCTCAACAAAATAAAATTTTTCATAAATTTATTTTACTTTATATGTGAAATAATTGTCAGTCAAGGGTTTTTTGTTTATATAGCTTGGTGCATTTTGTTTATAAGTAATTTCTATGCATAGTTGAAATTATATGTTTCCTAGAAAGGAGAACCAATAAAATACAAGCATTTTTCTCTACTTAAGGTGGATCAGTGATAGAAAAGCAGTCTTTTGATCCCAATTGTACACACATTGTTGTGGGACATCCTCTTCGAAATGAGAAGTACTTGGCCTCAGTGGCTGCTGGGAAATGGGTGCTCCACCGCTCCTACCTTGAAGCATGCAGAACTGCTGGCCACTTTGTGCAGGTGTGTATTCACTGTCGAAGATTTATTTTTCTAAAGATTTGTGAAGATTTCTAACTTTATTTAAGCACATCTACCAACTCCTTATATAATTGAAGTAACCAAATATAGCCAAATTATATGGTTATTTATAAGGTTTTCAATAGCTAAGCAAAAAAATTAGAGATCACAAAACCAGATTACTATAATTTTTAGAATTACTGTAAAACCTCTGTAACTGGATCACCCAGGGGACTGTAACAAACTGGTCAACATGGAGAGGTGGTCAACATAAGGAACGAGGCCTTAGTACATGTGGTGCATGTCTGATCTAGGAAAATTAGTTCAGTTTAAGCAGGTGGTCAATGTAGGGAGGTGGGCAACTATAGAGGTTCTATTGTATATAATTTTAATGTTAGTGGTTTAATTGAAAGAAAATTCTTTTAACATTGGAAGGTTTCAAGATTATCTCATTGTAAGCTTTTATCTTTACTACTGGCCCATTAAATATAAAACTAATTGTTTGCTGTATTTTGGTTTCTGACTGTTCATCACAATAGTATCCACTATGTAGTTTTAGAAGTTTTTAGTCAATCTCTTAGGCATCATACCTCTTCTGAGACTATGTCCTTTGGTGGAGTTAGTCTTACAGCAAGTAAAGCCCGATATGTTTGAGCAAGTGAAGCTCATTAAAAACATATGCATTATTTTTGGATTTCTAATTAAAAACCAGATATACTTGGCTCTTCTATGAAACCAAATTTATATTTTCTTCCATATCACAAAATGATGCTTAGTTCTTTCTGTAATTATAACAATTGAATGTATAGCTTTAATTATTAGACTATGGGTTCCTTGAGGACAAAAACCAGTATGCAACACAGTGACTCCCCACATTATAGAAACTCAAATTTGGTGAACATATTCTCTAGGAAGAAGACTATGAATGGGGAAGTAGTTCCATACTTGATGCTTTGACTGGAATCAACGTACAGCAAAGAAGACTAGCACTTGCAGCAATGAGATGGAGGAAAAAATTACAGCAAAGACAAGAATCAGGCATTGTTGAGGTATTAACATACATACTTATGTGGGTAATATAAGTGGCATTCCATATTATGACTGTACCAATTTATTTTTAAGAATTTGCTTGACCACGTAAAAATAATTCTACTTGTCTTATAATGTGGGCATTCTAACATTGAGCTTAATGTAAATTCCTAATTCTTCTAATTGTGTTCAAGATTTATATATATATATATATATATATATATCATATATATAATGTGGATGGCTCTTTTATTAATAATTTATGTGTGTAAAATGTGGCCCATCCTGTTTTGTTTTTTTGAGACCAAGTCTCGCTGTGTCATCCTCCGTATTTTTTGTTACTGTTGTTGCAGTTGCATTGTTGTTATAGCTGACCAGGGCTGGGTTTGAACCTGCCAGCCTGAGTATATGTGGCCGGCACCCTACCCATTTAGTTGCGGGCACTGCCCAATTGCAAGTATCTTAAAATACTATTTTTATTCATCAATGCTTTAAAATTATAGTAATTCAACCTACCATTTTGTCTTGTGATTTAATGCATTAATTTAAATTAAATCTATTATTATATCACAGATTTGTTATTAATATTTTGATAACTTTCAATAAAATTATTTCCTTTGGCTCGGTGCCCATAGTACAGTGGTTATGGTGCTGGTCACATGCACAGAGGCTGGTGGTTTTGCACCTGGCCTGGGCCAGCTAAACAACAATGACAACTGCAACAACTAAAAAATAGCTGGGTGTTGTGGCAGATGCCCGTAGTCCCAGCTACTTGGAAGGCTGAGGCAAGAGAATTGCTTAAACCCAGGAGTTTGAGGTTGCTGTGAGCTGTGACACCATGACACTCTACCAAGGGTGACATAGTAAAACTCTGTCTCAAAAAAAAAGAGAGAAAGTATTCTAACCAGAGACAGTTATGCTATACACTATGGTAAAAGAAATTCTATAAAATTTGTTGACATAAAACTAAGTCTACAGATAAAATCGTGCATTATCTGTACTATTGTGTTATTTTCCATATGATTTCAATACTGATTATTTTTTATTTGTAGGGGGCGTTTAGTGGTTGGAAGATTATTTTACATGTTGATCGGTCTCGAGAAGCAGGGTTCAAACGCCTTCTTCAGTCAGGAGGAGCAAAGGTTTGTAATGAATTAATTTACTGAATTTTTTACATAAATAATAATCTAGCCAAGGTTACTATGATTGTTCTTCACTTTCTCTACTTTTTGAGATGGTAATCCTTAAGTACATATTATATAGTTGAACTACTTCAGAATGCTGATTCACTGTGATACATTCTTGTTTTTTTATTAGGTGCTACCTGGCCATTCTGTATCTTTATTTAAAGAGGCCACACATCTTTTTTCTGACTTTAATAAGCTGAAACCAGATGACTCAGGAGTTAACATAGCAGAAGCTGCTGCTCAGAATGTATATTGTTTAAAAACAGAATACATTGCTGATTATCTCATGCAGGTTTGTAATCCTATCTTTCACCTCCTTATTACTGGAGATCTGTTTATATGTGTAATACAAATCAAATGTCTGACCTTGACTTGTTTTTAGTAAAATGTTAATTTTCCATTATTCTTCTCTATTCAGTCCCTTTCAGTTTCATTCTGTTTTTAAAAAATAATACATATATAAACATTTAGCTTGAGAGTTAAATATGAGAATGGCATAAAAATCTGGGGACCTCTAAAAGCTTTAAAAGTGCTCTTTATTTCCAGCCTTTATATCTACAGTTTAAAAAAAAAAAAGTGCTCTTTAAAATGGTGGAATATAAAGAAAGCAGACATTGATTCCAGGAGTCCAAGGAGAAACATTTATCCAAAGGTCTTTGTTTAGTTTTCTTTACCTTTTGCATTGATAGGCAGTAAATTCCTATGTTAGACCCTGTGGTAAATTTCAGTGTTTGCTACATGAAGGGCTTACTTACTACAGTAATACTCAGAATTGTCTTGTGGTGTGTGATTTGAATGGACAAGGAAGAAAATCTGACACCAGGTGCCTGAAGGGCCATTAGGAGTTAATCAGTAGAGTACGACACGTAATCATAAGTGTCTTACGAAGGATTTCTAAGGAATGGTATAGAAATAAGGGGAATCCAAAACTTAGCCTGCCTTGTGATTTTGCTTCTTCTGTTTTGTGATTGCTCAGGATTTAATAGACAGAATGCCTAAAACATAAATGTGAAGCCTTAATCATAAAACAGTAAGCTCACTGATTATGAATTAGTAACTCAATAATAGCTTTCCTTAATCACCTAAGTAACTTATAAAAAAGCTCAATTTATTGAGGTGTGGGGTTTTAAAATTTTACTTAATTGTAGAAAAATGCAAGGGTTAGGGAGATATCGCCATCTCTTTTAGCATTTCTGATCAGTATTTATTGGTCACCTATACTGTGCTAAGTGCTTGTATGTGAATTCTATTTCATTTTTATATGAACTCTCAGTGAATGTAAATAGTTAAAGCAGTGAGCTTTGCAAATTGGCATTTCCTAAAGAAACGTGAATCAACTAAAATATAATATAATGGAAAAGAATGAAGAGACATAAAAATAAGAGGTGAACAACACCTAAATTAGTTCCATATATAACAATATCTAATGTTGATTGAGCATCCATTTGCCAAGCACTGAGTGCATAAGTTATTTTAATCTTCTCATGACCTTTTGAAGGATTGTATTATTACTCCCATTTTTAAAGAAGAGGGAAATAGGGCTAAGAGAAATTAAATACTTGTTCAAAGTTACTCACCTGAAGCACAGACATTCTGATTCCAGATCCCATGCTTTTAACCATTATTTTATACTGATTTTTTTTTTGTCACCATTCTTGGAACCTATCACATTGTCCAGTATTTAGTAAATAATAAATGAAGAAAGATTTAGCCAGCTGTTATGGCAGGTACCTATAATCCCCGTTACTTGGGAGGCTGAGGCAAGAGGATGGCTTCAGCCTAAGAGTTTGAGGTTGCTGTGAGCTAAGACACTATGGCACTCTACCAAGAGCAACAAAGTGAGAATCTGTTTCAAAAAAAAAAAAAAAGACTAGCAATACAACTGAACAGTATAGATGTTTCAGAGAACAAATGAGAATTGTTGAACAAACAAAATACAGTAGAACCTATGTAAGTTGGCCACCCAAGGGACTATAACAAACTTGTCAACAGAGGTGTCAGCATAAGGAACTAACCTGCTGTACTGATATATACATGTGGTGCCTGTCTGGTCTGTGAAAATCAGGTCAACTTAAGGAAGTGGTCAACTATGGGGGTTCTATTGAATAATGAGATAGAAGATTGAAGAAATCTTTTCTGATCTGAGCCAGAAAGAGAAGATACCTTAGGCTGGGCACCCGTAGCTCAGTGGTTAGGGCGCTAGCCACGTGCTGTGGAACTGGTGGGTTTGAACCCAGCCCGGGCCTGCTAAACAAACAAAAAGATACCTTAAAAAACAAAAACATTCAAACCTGTCTCTTCTTCCCTACAGCTCTAAATATCTAAAGACTGGCAATGGCATCCATATGATTGAGGGGGAAAGTTGGCCACCCATAGATTTCATATATAATCAAACTTTCATATGTAAAGAGAAATATATATAGAAGGACTCAAGTATACCATATGTATCTTCCTGAAAAAAATTATTTGGTAAATCCAAAGCCAGCTAACTAGACATCAACATCAAGAACTCAGGATTAGGCCAGCAGTGGCTCATGCCTACAATCATAGCACTCTGGGAGGCCAATGCAGGTGGATCGCTTGAGCTCAGGAGTTTGAGACCATCCTGAGCAAGAGAGTGAGCCACCTCTACTAAAAATAGAAAAACTAGCTGGATGTTGTGGCAGGCACTGGTAGTCCCAGCTACTTGGGAGGCTGAGGCAAGAGGATCACTTGAGCCCAGGAGTTTGAGGTTTCTGTGAGCTATGATGCCATACCACTCTATCCAGGGTACAAAGTGAGAGTCTGTCTCGAAAAAAAAGAACTCAGGATTGCTACCAGTTGATATTTAGTGTCCCCTCATATAATGGAAGTAATCCAAAATGTGAAGCAAAATTTATGTTCCCAAAACAGTTTAGTTAGAAAAGTAAAAAACAGGCTCGG